CTTATCCCAAAAAATCCAACATAGGACATAGCCATCAGCCACAGTCCCAGGGAAGCAGGACATGACCTTTAGGACATAATAGGATTACCCCATCACCATTAGAATACCAGAAGGGCACACTGAACCTCAAGTTAAAGTTCATGCCACAGGAACAGGAACAGCTCCAAACACAAAAGCCCAAGAAGGTACAAAAACCCATCACTCCCAGCACCATGTGGTCAGCTGCTCCAGAGCCACATGCTGTTGTGGTTCTGCTCTTCAATAAACTAGAATCTTCTTTCTAAAGCAGTCTCGATTTTATTTATTCCTGGTTTGGACCGGACCCTGATGAAGATTTTTCTTTCAAAAAGCCATTTGTCTAAAATACTATAGCGTCTCCTACTTGAGCAAGGGGTTGGAGTGGAAGACCTCCAAGGTCCTTTCCAACTCTGTTATTCTGTTACTAAAAGTAATGGAAAACAATGGAAAAGAAAAGGAAATCTAATTAAACCAAGACCAGTAGATCAGTATAGATAAGGAACCTACATAATGTCGAGATCAGGGATTTGTGAAACACTGGTTATGCATAATATAGACAGATGCCTCTATTGAACCCAGGTGCCCTTTCTGTCCTGTCGCCAAAATTAAAAAACCATGGAAGGAGGATCCCAAAGAGCTACATACAAACACCCGTGAAAACTTCATGAACACCAAGAGAATAAAATTATACAAGAGTTAAAAATGTTAAAACTTTTATTTACTAAACCTAGCTTTCGTCAAGAGCTCTTCACATCATCAGGGTGTAAACGGCAGTCGTTGGGAGGGCTTATATGCAGCCTCCAATCATTTGCACTCGGCTCTTGGATCGTGTCGTAGTCTTCTGTCCTCCCAAGGGATCAATCACCACGGAACTATTCCCCTCCCTCTCACAAACCAGCCCAGCTAGCATAACGAGGGTGTCAGTTTCGCTCCCCGGGGGGTAAATCATTCCCCCTGGCATGTGTGATTGTAGTCCGAGCGCTCTATCGTATGCTGTATTTCCTATTCCTCCCCCCACAGTTGTTATCTCCATTCGTATTTCTCCTATTGAACTGATTGGGAGGGCCTCGCTCTCTCTTTCCTGCTGCAATTCAGTTGTCAAAGCACCTCCACTCGCTCCGTTCATCAGGAAGTTGTTCCATAATTGACAGTCAGGTTTCTGGTGGCTGTTTGTCATTTGTGGGGGATTTTTCAAAGTTCTACCGTCTTGGTCCGAAGCCAAGGGAATGGCCATTTGGTCGTGTTGTGTGTGGGGGGATGTCCTATTCTTCCCCACACATGTGATCGATGCCTAGGTCTTCTCCAGCAGTTTAAGCGACGGTTCATGTGCCATGTTTGTAAGGTCCGTTGTGCCGGGCACATGTCTATATGGTGATTAATGGAATTTTCCCCAGAAAACCAGGCCTCCTTTAATAGGCGGCCTCCCTTTGTGGCATCACAGGCCAAGATTTGTGTGTGGTCAAAATCAAAGTTGTGGCCACTTTCAGCCATGTGTGACCAGATCTGCGAGTATTGGTCACACATGGCCGAAAGTGGCCACAACTTTGATTTTGACCACACACAAATCTTGGCCTGTGATGCCACAAAGGGGGGCCGCCTATTAAAGGAGGCCTGGTTTTCTGGGGAAAATTCCATTAATCACCATATAGACATGTGCCCGGCACAACGGACCTTACAAACATGGCACATGAACCGTCGCTTAAACTGCTGGAGAAGACCTAGGCATCGATCACATGTGTGGGAGAAGAATAGGACATCCCCCCACACACAACACGACCAAATGGACATTCCCTTGGCTTCGGACCAAGACGGTAGAACTTTGAAAAATCCCCCACAAATGACAAACAGCCACCAGAAAACTGACTGTCAATTATGGAACAACTTCCCGATGAACGGAGCGAGTGGAGGTGCTTTGACAACTGAATTGCAGCAGGAAAGAGAGAGCGAGGCCCTCCCAATCAGTTCAATAGGAGAAATACGAATGGAGATAACAACTGTGGGGGGAGGAATAGGAAATACAGCATACGATAGAGCGCTCGGACTACAATCACACATGCCGGGGGGAATGATTTACCCCCCGGGGAGCGAAACAGACACCCTCGTTATGCTAGCTGGGCTGGTTTGTGAGAGGGAGGGGAATAGTTCCGTGGTGATTGATCCCTTGGGAGGACAGAAGACTACGAACGGAGCGTGCCTGGGAGATTCTCCGATGAGGGATGAGGACAGAAGCCCCAAATGGAGTGAGCAATGGATTGACCGGTTATGAGCTAGGCAATGCCTTACTGACAGGCACACACTCCCGAACGACTCCTCCCAAGAATATAGGGAGGAGAGTGATGATAGATCTAAGGGAGTGATGGAAAGGAATAGGAGGGAGAGCGGTGCAGGACGGGATGGCACACGGGGGCTACGATCTGAGAGAAAAGGAGGATTGGAATGTGGCTCGGAGGGGATGGTTGGAGCAACTAGAAGGAAGCAGAAAACAGCAACTATTGCCCATGACAGACAGAATCACAAACGGGAAACTAGTGAAACATGCACTAACTGCAAGGAAAGGGGAAACACCCCAGCTAATTTTAGAACTAGCGAGAAAGACACACGTAACAGCACACGTAGAAAGGGTGAGAAACAACTACACCCTAATGCAGGACACACACTTGGATTACAACGCACACAGCTGGGACCTATGACACGATCCAAGAGTCGAGCGCAAATGATTGGAGGCTGCATATAAGCCCTCCCAACGACTGCCGTTTACACCCTGATGATGTGAAGAGCTCTTGACGAAAGCTAGGTTTAGTAAATAAAAGTTTTAACATTTTTAACTTTTGTATAATTTTATTCTCTTGGTGTTCAACTATTTATTGATTTTAATATGAACATACCCAAGAGTCATATTTTATATGTTTTCTGAGGTTTTCGCGGGTGTTTGTATGTAGGTCTTCGGTTGTTCGGGTTTTCTCCCGCGTAAAATTGGAAGTGTCTTGGCGACGTTTCGACGAAGTCCCATTCGTCATCTTCAGGCTGGTGTTTTCAGCTTCGTGCTTCGAGCAGCGAAGCTGAAAACACCAGCATATATATATATATATCGAGAAATAAAATGAACACCAACTATAAAAGTTTAATTAAAAAGCGCCAAGCTTTCGCCGTCCCTGCCGGCATCATCAGGGCTAGAGCGCCAGAAAGTGTGAGAGTTTTTTATAGGCAAGTCAGAATCTGCGCCCGGCTCCTCGATCTCGTCACCGGGCCTAATTGATTCAACTGCGCTTGATTGGTTTGTTTCTTCCTATTCCTCTTAGTTACGTGTGTGTTGTCGTCTCTCCTCCTTTCTTTCAATTCTGGGATGGGTGGGATAACTCCCCTACCGTTCAAATTATCTCTGTTCTTCAACCCATCCTCCCCATCAGGTTTGAGTGGTAATGTACACTTCCCCTTCCTTTCCCAATCATCATCCGCTCGGCTGTTCTTTTTGCAATAGCCTTCTCTTTTAACTTTAGTACTTTCTCCTCCCATCCAACTGTCATCTGGGCAATCCTGTAAGTCGTTCTGAGTTGGCTGCGATATGCTGGTGATCTGGGACAGGTTGATGGATTGTTTGTCTACTGGGGGGGCGGTCCCCTGGCTGTGATTACATTCAGTCGTCTTACTCCTCCTCCCCCTTTCCTGAGCCTCCTGTGTTCCTTTCGCACGCGTTATAATTCGGAGGCTCGGTCTGGGGGAGGTAGTGGAATTACGATCTTCTCGAGTGCCGCCGTGCTTCTCTTTCGCTCTCCTCTCCCTTCTAACGTCGCTCGTGCCCATGTGCGCATCGTGGGGGTCTTCGGAATTTATGGGTGGAAGGTGCAACAGTTCGGTCTCGTAAATGCCAAACTCTCACACTTTCTGGCGCTCTAGCCCTGATGATGCCGGCAGGGACGGCGAAAGCTTGGCGCTTTTTAATTAAACTTTTATAGTTTTACTACCCTGGTGTTCATTTTATTTCTCGATATGAATACTCCCAGGGTTCATATTTTTAGCATTATTAACCAAATATATATATATATATATAAAGCTGGAAGGGACCTTGGAGGTCATCTAGTCCAACCCCCTGTTCAGGCAGGAAACCATATACCATTTCAGACAAATGGCTGTCCAGTCTCTTCTTAAAAACTTCCAGTGTTGGAGCATTCACCACTTCTGGAGGCAGATTGTTCCACTGGTTAATTGTTCTAACTGTCAGGAAGTTTCTCCTTAGTTCTAGGTTGCTTCTCTCCTTAATTAGTTTCCATCAGTTGCTTTTTGTCCTGCTTTCAGGTGCTTTGGAAAATAGCTTGACTCCCTCTTCTTTGTGGCAGCCCCTGAGATATTGGAACACTGCTATCATGTCCCGCCTCGTCCTTCTCTTCATTAAACTAGACATACCCAATTCCAGCAACCGTTCCTTATATGTTTTAGCCTCCAGTCCCCTAATCATCTTTGTTGCTCTTTCTAGAGTCTCAACATCTTTTTTACATCATGGTGACCAAAACTGGATGCAGTATTCCAAGTGTGGCCTTACCGAGGCATTGTAAAGTGGTATTAATACTTCACGTGATCTTGATTCTATCCCTCAGTTAATGCAGCCCAGCACTGAGTTGGCTTTTTTGGCAGCTGCAGCACACTGCTGGCTCATATTTAAGTGATTGTCCACTAGGACTCCAAGATCCCTCTCACAGTTACTACTATTGAGCAAGGTAGTTAAATTTGTCTCTAGTTTGATATAAATAAGCTTAACTTTCCTATATTTTTCCTCTCATAATTTGAACTATGATGGAGTTCATGGGTCCCATCACTGCTCTGCTGAAAACTTGCTCTGCAATTGTTTTTTAACCATTTAAATTCAATCTGATGGGGGAAATCATTTATTTTATCGTAGTGTTTTATTCACAGAAGAAGAAAAGTTAGATGTTGATAATATGGATTCTGTGTTTGGGAAGGAAAATAACAATCCTATTTTGTTCCAGTTTTCCTGGCTCGACTTAAATCCCAGGAGAAGCTGTTGTCTCTCCATCAGCTTTGCAGTCATCTAGTTTGGTTTGAGAAAGCCCCACACATTATCCCATGCACACAGCATGATGGAGAACAACAACAAAAAAGATGCAGAACTCTCTGCACCAACAATAATAATTCAAAAGCAGAGTTGGAAAAGCACATATATTGCAGAAGGAAGGAAAACCTGGGAATCTGACGGCAGGTTTCTGCACAGTATCAAAATATATGACTTCTAGTGCCCTAGGTAGGTACTAGGAATATTTTTGGGGAGTTTACTGCATGTGGACTGTTGTACAATTTCTCTAAAAACCACCAAGTTTTCTAGCTCTAGTAAAACCAAATGAGTCAGAGAGTGCTAATATATTATAGCATCAGCCCAAGAAATGGGTGATTGCTGATAGTCATGTAAATTTGATAAATGGATAAATCTTTATCAGCAAATACTTTTTTTATGTCAAAAGAATGACTAGTCAGAGAAATGAATCATTTGAGCACCTCTCAGTGTTGGTACAAAAGCTAGCTGAAAGCAGTTAACCATATAAATCAAGTTTTGGTTTTATTTTTTCAAAAAGCTTTTGGCTATTGGCTTTTTAATGTTTTTTTTGTTCTTATTGGATTTTTCTTTGTTTTGTAGGTGGAGAACAAATGATTTCATATCATTTAAGTGTTATGGTTCCGGCTAATGAAACACTTCAAAGAACTTCCAGGCCCTAAAAGTCTTTTATTGCTTCAAAATGTCGGCACAGGCATAACAAAGTCTATGCTAAGATCTAAGTTCTCTTCCTCTGACCAGTTAAATTATCAGCATGTTCTCTCCCTAAATTAGCTGTCATATATCACTTTATCCAATTAGTGTGAAAGTCAAAGGTTTCCTTCCTCTCTCTTATGCTCTGCATTAACTCTAAAAATACCAGACAGTTCTGCATATTGTCAAAGCAAGAATATACAGTATTTGCAGCATTTTAATATTTGCTATAAATTAATTAAGACTTTGAAGAGAGACAGTCCAAAGATGATAAACCAAACAAATAAGAAATAAAAGGGCAATTTATCAGTGTGGGAATGTAAGTCTTTACCTTTCTAAATTCTTCAAGACAGACATGTACATATCTTTTGGGGTTCCAGGCCATACTAAACATTTGATGGTAATAAAAAATCCCACCTCTAGGAGAAGAGTCGTACTGAGTGGTGGGGAGAGGGCAGAAAGTCAAAGGAGTTTAATAAAAGACAAACAGTACCCTTATAGTATGTTTTACAAAGGAGAATTCAAGAGCTAGGTCCAGAAAATAAATAATTAAATTAAATAAATTAAAGAAAGATAAATAAATCTAAAGATGGTTTTCTGAAATAAAGGTTTGCCCTTTATAGCAATGGCCCCCAACCTTTTGGGCATCAGGGACTAGTTCCATGGAGGGCAGTTTTTCCGTGGACCTGGGGGGGGGGGAGCGTCCATCTCGCCCATGCATGGATGGGGGTTTGCTCGCTTCTGTGGCCTGGTTCCTGTGGACCAGGGGTTGGGGACCCCTGCTTTATAGCAAAGGATATATGGTCAGTATAATTATGTTAATAAAGTTGATTAGCCTGGAAAGTTCTATTGGGCTTTTTCTATTTTTTTTTACTGTAAAAGGAGGCAGATCATATCAAGTTATAAAAATGTGTGAGAAAAAGAATTAATTGACCCAATCGTATTATTTGTATTTTTAATTCATTTAATTATTTGGTTGTTAAATTTCCTTTTTACATACCTCTAGCAATTCCTATATGTTCGCACCTCAATGTTATTTCGAAGTTACACCCATTAAGAAGTATTTTAAGAAAACAAGCCCCCCCCATCCTTTTATTTATTTATTTATAAAATTTATATTGGCCATCCACTCACTCTCGGTTACTCTGGGTAGCTTATTCACATACATACTCTTTCTTGTCTTATATACATTGTAGGAAGTAAAATCCGTTCTGGTTTCAAGCTGGGAGAAGTCCAAGCAGGAGCCAATGAATTTGGAGGCCAGTTACAGGAAAGGCGGTCTCCATTTATTTAGGAATCAGAAGCAAAGTGACCTAGCAATCAGTTCTGGGACAGCTGACAGCTTGGCTTTGGGAATAGAGTGATTTTTATACCCTTTTGGACCTTTGAGATTGAGATGCCTGGTGGGGTTATCTGATTAGTTTAGATTCTGTATTCTAATTGTCCCTATTTGGTTTCCTGGGTGGTGATCAGGGTCAAGGCTAGCCTTGGGGGAAATGTAAATTCTGTGTGGCTTTGTTTCTTCTGATTTAATCCTTAATCCTGTCAATTCAGCCTGACTCAGTCTTCTAACCGGGGTTACTTGAGGCTGTTCTGGCTGGGAGGCAGGGATTGCTTTAGCTTCTATGGATGGTGTTTTGGGTTTTTTTTCTGCCTTATCTGGGGTTATGGAAATAAAAAGGGGTTTGTGCAGTAGTGGGATTCAGCCGGTAGTTAATTTTTTGTTGACTTTGTTGAACCGGCTGATGCCCTAGCCCTTTTTCGCAAAACTCAGAACAGACTGCCAGAAGTGTATCCACACCACTTCCAAAAGTCCGTTCTGGGCCAGGCAAGTAGCAGCTGAATCCGCATAAGGAATAGTGGGGTGGCAAATGTCTCAGAAGAGACCTTCCCTAGTTTCTTTGGCTGTAAGTGTGAGGAGGGAGAGATATACTTTCAGACTTACAAGTGTCTGTTAATGTAAACTAACAATAAAGTTAGAGTAGTGCTCCTGGTGTGCTTCATGTCTAGACTACCTCATAAGGCTGACAGTGTAGATCAGAGAAGAAACACAGTCAGATGGGCTAATATTACTTTACAGAACCTTGCAAATTTGAGAGCACAAACCTCCCACTTTTACAGCTAGTTGAGGACAGTCCCTTCTGAGTCTTTCCATCTGTTAGGCAGGTGGTAGGTAGCAGAGTGTGTGGGGCATAAAGGACACACCTGGCTCTCTGGACAGTCTTCCTCTAGTTCTGGGCCAAAAAATGTGCAGCTACATCTAAATGCAATTCATAAAGACATTGGTGGCATATTCAATGAGCATATAGCAATTCATGATATTAGTTTCCAATGTACAGTCAACACAGCAGGCTATAAGGCAGAGCTAACAGATAGGGGCTGCCAAAATCTGGATAATCATAGATGACAACAATGAGATAAGAAAGCTGTATTTTGTTGCTGCCATTTTGTGATCTTCCAAGGATTGACAGTTCAGATGTAGTCTTATTTTAGGGAGACACACTTGTATCCTTAACATTCTTCTAAAGAACAAGATGTCTCCCAGCTTTTTAAAAGCATTTTCAAAGATTAAATTAACAATAGGGAAAGTTGCATGCATGGCAGTATCCTTGCATATATTTACTAGTCATTAAAAGACTATTAAGAGTCATTGGCTTAACGCTGTGGGATTATGCTAGGTTATTTTAGTTTAAACAGTTTTGGATTCCCACTAATCCTATATTAATGAGCTGTGATAGGCCCCTAAATTGTAATTTCTTGGTCACCCTCTTCCTCAGCACATTTCAGTAAAATATATTCAGTCAACTATTAGAGCACGCCCATGAAAGGATTATAAAGCAAATAATGAAGCCAAATAATATGAGTCAGTCAGTTATATGTCTCTGTCTATATAAAAAAAATGATTCCAAAGAATGTCCAATTCACTTTTTGTTACAAGGAATCCCAGGCCTCCTGGCATGCCATTTGTATCTCCTTGTATAAACTCAGCTCACCATCAGCAACTCTGGCAGCAAAGACCTACTTCTAGTTTGAAGCTAAATATTGATAAATACAATTTACTTGAAATAACATTCTTCTTCAAAACAGTTTCTCTCTTCCTTTTCTAGTGTGTTTTAGTCTTTGTATTTACATTATAGGTATTTTTTTTAAAAGTCCTAACCCAGATTATGAATTTGACTAATTACTAAGGTGACCAACTTTTTTACATTGAAAAGGAGGACACAAATAAATTGAAGAAAAAAATATTGTAAATAAAAGAAACATTTTATTCATTGCAACAATAATACAGAATACACTATAATATGATAAATGCATAATAAAAACATTTGTAACAATAACATTTTATATTGTAATTATGCTTACATGCCATGCCCCCGCCCGCAGCCACCCCGCTAACACTGCTGCCCCGCTGTGTAGAGCAGGCCCTGAGGCTCCCAAAGCACCAGCTGCGCCGGCTCCGGCCCTGGGGGGGCAGCCCACCATCAACACATCCCGCCTGCAGCTGCCCCGCCAGCACCACTGCCCACCCTGCGCAGCCCCGTGTAGAGCGGGCCCCGTGGCTCCCACAGCACGGGGGGCAGCCGGCAACTACCGCCCCTCACACCCCTGCCTGCAGCAGCCTTACTGCCTCTGCCTCTTGCGCCCGCAGCCATTATTGCCCTAGCAAGGCCGAAGATCAAGAGAAAGTTACTGTGGCATCGCTGCTCCAGTCTTCTCCAGGTATATTCGGGACTAACTAGGAGATGGTATAGTTGGGTAGCAAAGAGGGGTGCAAAGTTCCTGCCAATTCACCTTCGCTGCAGACAACTTACATGTTCAAAGTTTGCCGGCCGGGTGTTTTAGCGTGCTCAGCAGCAATTCCTATTGGCTTTCAAAAGCCAATAGAGGGAGTAGCACAGCTCATGCAAAAGTTGAAAAAAAACTATCAAAAAAAGGTGCTGGAATGTTGTTCTGAGCGTTCTATCAGAAAAAAAAGCCCTGCAGATTAGTCTTCAAATATTGAAAAGGAGGACATGTAGGAGGACACTTTTCGAGAGAGGACAGAACTCATAAAAGGAGGACTGTCCTCCCTAAAGGAGGACGGTTGGTCACCTTATAATTACAGTAGAAAATCCTTGGAGCTGCCATTTGAAACAGTTACATTGCCAATGTAATGAAACTGAATCTGTTTTGATATTAAACTTTTCTCCGTAGCAACTCCACTTTAATAAACACTTACAACTTGATGGTCCAGCAGTGTGGAACAGTTGTAGAAAACATGTTCCATTCAGTTAATACACCTCAATGATGACCTGGACATACAAATGAAATGAAACTGGATAAAATAATATCCAGGAATAAAAGAATATAAAATAGTAAACAAAAGAATCAAACTATGCTCCCTAATATAGTGTTCGTCATGGCTGGCTGGGGAATTCTGGGAGTTGAAGTTCACACATCTTGAAGATGCCAAGGTTGCAAAACCCTGCCCTAGAAGCTTACTCAGACATTTATTCATTATATTTATACTCTCTCTCTCTCTTTCTCTCTCTCTCTCCACATATACACTCAAACTGGCAAACATGATCAGACTTCTCCTTTCTTTATTGGCAGTCAACTTGTAATGTCTATCATGGTTGGCTGCAGAAAATATTGTTGTACTGGAGCTTCTTTGTTGGGGCTACTAGAGCTGAGCTGTAAAATAACCACATGATATCAGCAAATATGAACATGGATATGTATGTGTGTGTGTGTATATATGTGTATGTGTGTATATGTATGTGTGTATGTATGTATGTATGTGTGTATATGTATATGTGTATATATATATGTATATATATGTATGTGTATATATATGTATGTGCATGTATATATGTGTGTGTATATATATGTGTATATGTATGTGTGTATATATATGTATGTGTGTGTGTGTATATATATATATGTGCGTCTGTGTGTATGTGTTTGTGTGTATATAAAACACACACACATGTATATATACATATATACACACATATATGCACATGTACACATATATACATACATACATA